AGTGATTATTGTAAACGCGAAAAAATGGGATCTATTCTGTGAATGCTATAAGATATATAAATCGCAAAAAATGATCTAACAAATTCCCGACAGACTGTTTGTCGGTCTGTCTGTCACTTCATTCAAGGTAGCATTCAGCAGCTGAGTTAAAGCAAACTATAGGTAGTGCTATATTCGGCTGCTTGGTGCTAGTAAACGCAACCATTGTAAACTTGTCAACCTAGATATTTAGATTAAATTCCATTTAATATTTTTATACTTTTAAAGTGTTTATGGCAGTCGAAACAAGTCAAAACGTCAACTGAAAATATGTCATGTCATATGGTTTGGGAGTTTTGTTAGGTCTTCACAATTTTACGAGAAAATATTCATAATAGGATATTAGGAAATTAAGGTCACATAATGGCCAAAGTAGTCCTGAAAACTCCCATAAAGATGCTCGGCTTCCACATTTTACGGTTATGCACTTAATCCTTAACGGACCAAAACGCAGGGAGCTTTTCTGATCCCAGCACGCCGTGCTCCAGATGACTGGCCCCTGGCGAAATTCCTTTTTATCTCTGCGGCTAATGTATCTTGCGTGACAGCTTATTTTTCTTACGAAGCAACTGTAATTACGTACATCGTAAAATATCCTTCAGGCATGTCGGCTGTGCTACTCATCACGCTTGATACGTTTTTCTGGAGAAACTCATGTTTACAATGTATGAATTTCAAGGGTAACTCCGCCTCGCGTTCTCACTCTTGCACGGTCATCATGCATCCCTAAACGGAATGTGTTTTGGTCACTAAAGGCCGTTCGATGTCCTAGTTCAGCCTTTCTCTGCACCAAGACAATCGATCGCTTCGGTACCTAGGAGTGAGAGGTAGGACAAACTGATAACGGTAATTAGTAAGTCCAAAGCTGTTGATCCAGCGATAAATAAATTGCGTTGCAATAGGCTTGCCATACGAGGACGAGATGCGGTCCCGTAGAACCGAAAGCCTGAGGCGGTTCCTCTTACATGCCCTGTAATTCTTCATGTACGAACCTCCTGGTTCCATGCCCGACAATAAAGCACTACCATATTTAGACTTCCGTGCACCCTGGTGGCTATTTCTCTGAAGGACCAACCAGCCTCAAACAAGCCCACTAGTCGCCTCCTATCACACGTGCTAAGCTGTTGAAAAGCTTTTTACTCTAGGCATAATGAACAGATTGACAACGTATTGCACGATGATCAAGTTCAAATTGTAGCTACAAAACACAACTATCGCTTACTTACTTTTCTTGTAAGATGTGGTTCTAACTTTATCGATACGGTTGAAAAGCTTCCCACGTCACTGGGCGAAGAACTATTGTAATAGCAAAAAATTTGGAAAATAAGATATTGCGTTTCTTGCACGTTATATGACATGTACATCACGAAAAATCATAGCACATTCCCATCGGTTTGTCGATATGTCGGTCTATCTGTCTGTTGGCCTGACTGTTCGCTAATCTTTGGCTCGTCTATAACTTGAGGAGTACCACTCAGTTTTGATGATACACATGGTTGGTACTATTCCAATGACCACCTACTTTTTGAAAGTCGGCAGTACCTAATCACTTTCAGATTTTTTTTGTAAGGGACTAAAAATTGGTGGTTGGGGGTTGTGAGGAGTGGGGAGCATATCTCTCAATTTTTTCTGTTAATATATTTATATGCTTCCAACCCTTGTAATTCTATGCATCTATTAGGCATATTTTACACATTATAGATTTCCCCGTACATTTGCCTTAAAGACTTACTGGCCTCACCGCCCGCCATACAGTTATGGACGGTACCTACTGGTAGAGCAGGGAAACAATGTTTATAGTAATAATAACAATAGTAATAATAATAGTAGTTATAGTCATAACAATATTCTTTGCCTTAAAGAAATAATACATTTCAGATACACAAATTATGTTTTGGCATAAAAATAAATCTAGGACCCGCAGAAGGAGAGCCCTTGTGCGTGGATGCAACAACACAATTAAAAGTATCTATTTACATTTTAACATTTAGTAATAGATAGTCTTTATTGTCTTTTGGTCATAAATAGCTATGACATAAGACTTGTCAACATTACATATACAATACATAAGTTTGCGATATGCAAAAAAAGAACAGGTAGTTAATTAAAACGGTAATTGAGATAATAAATAATAAACAAATAAATCAATAAAATAGGAGTCATTACAAACACAAACAAATTCTCAATGACATCTAACGAACATGAAAAAATAAATAAATAAAATAGGAGTCATTACAAACACAAACAAATTCTCAATGACATCTAACGAACATGAAAAAAAAATCTATTTTAAATAAATAAAAACAATTGAGCGCTTAAAATGTCTAGAAGAGGAGCAATAAATAGACTTTTTCTTTTCCGTTAAGCTTAATAAATAAATAAAAAGAATAAATAAATAAAATTAAGCAGTTAGGTATTCGTCGACGGTGTAGTAACACTTTTCTGATAGATATCTTCTCAGACGTTTCTTTAATGTCAACATATTAGTGCTTCTGCGGAACTCAATTGGTAGTTTATTGTAAATTTTTGTACAGGCATAGAGTGGTGATTTCTGAAACTGAGCTGTTGCGTGGACTGGTATACTTAAGTCAAAACCTATTCTGGTGTTGTAGTGCCTGTTAACTGTGTTATTTTGAATAAAACTGGTCCTATGTTTAAATGCGAAGAGAGCGCATTTATATATATAGATGGATATTAATGTTAGCAGATTATATGTTCTGAAAATATCTTTACAAGAGTTTTTTTTGTTGATCTTGAAAATCAGCCTGAGTACTCTTTTCTGCAAGATGAAGACTCTGTTGTTCATGACTGCTTGTCCCCATAGTATTATATTATTGCTAAGATGCGGGTAAGCCAAGGCGAAGTAGATATCTATAAGAGCTGTTTGGGAGATGTTTTGTTTGAGTTTCAAGATTGCAAAGTATGCACTATTGAGTTTCTTAATGACATGATTCACATGTGACTGCCAGCCCAACTTCCCATCAATATGAGTTACTAAGAATTCGGTTCCGTCTGAGAAGATATCGTTGTGCAACCGTGGTTTGCTATTGTTGCACATTGTTTTAACAGCGTTTAGTATAAGGCGGTTTGATACACACCAGTCGTTCATTTCTGTTTCAACTCGCTCAATTGCTTGGAGCAGGTCAACTGGTGTTGCTGCACTAACTACTACTGACGTATCATCAGCGTAGTTGACCATATGGCCAGATAGTTTTAGGTCGTTCATAAACAAAATGAACAGGAGTGGCGCTAGTACCGAGCCCTGGGCTGCACCAATGCTTATGTCATACACCCCCGACGAAGAACCATTCACTCTTGTTTTAAAGTCCCTAATACCGAGATTGTACAGCTTCTGCTCGACGAAGTTTATGTCTATTATATCAAATGCCTTCGATAGATCGGAAAACAAGCCTGCAACATATTTGTTAGAATCAATATCCTCGTAAACTTTGTTAAAAAAGTCATGACGCTGTTTCTATGGATCGTGAAGACCGGAACCCATGTTGACTGTCTGATATGGTGTTATACTTATTTAAAAAGCTAACGATTCGTCTAAGCAGGCACTTTTCTATAATTTTTGATATAATAGATAACAGAGATATAGGTCTGTAGTTCTCTATATCAGTCGGATCTCCTTTCTTAAATATAGGAATTACAATGGCAAGTTTGAGACACTTTGGAAATTTACCTTTCAGCACTGACTTATTTATAAGCTGTGAAAGTGGAGTTGATATCTCACATTTTATAGTTTTCACCACTCGCGTTGATATGTCATCACTACCGCAGGATTTTTTATTTGGAAGGTCATCTATTATTTCTATGATCTCTGCAGCCGTAACTTCTTCATAGACCATCGAGTTCGTAGAAAGTCGCTGAACTGTACAATGCGATGCCGGCATCTCTTGAAAGTGCGTTTCCAACTTCGTATGTGCTATGGTAGCAAAGTATTTTCCAAATTGATCCGGTATCTCGAAGTTTGTAATTTCCTTGGGACAGTGTTTGATTGCAATATTTCGTTGCGTCTTCGCCCGTCCAATTAATAGCTTCAAATTGAATATCGCACATAAGTATAACTTAAATTTCTATATGTCTCGATCAGGTTAGCACTATTGGCTCGGAATTTGTCGTAGGTTCAATTCAAACTATACCATAATATTTAAATGAACTCCCTACATGTATAAGTGTCTTAATCAGGGATGTACTTTTCATACTGTTTTTGAAGACTATAGTCATAGTAACAAAATTGTTTACCATTTCGCTTCAGATCAACTTCTTGTAAAATGCCCCTCAATCTAGAGACAAATTACGATTTATGTAAGATGAGACCCTAATTCGCATATTAAAGCAAGAAATTGATTAATAACACGATATTTTTATGTCTTCAAAGAATTAAATGAGCAGAATTTTGTACAACAACAGTGAGTCACTGAGATTTACAAAAATTCTCAGCAATGGCGTTATGCCAATCTATTGTATCAGGTTTGATCCATGTCGCGAATCCTTTTTAATTGATGGAACTGACGTCAACTTTTGTGTCAGGATACAAAGGGGAAACAGGTTTTTGTAGCTGAAGCATGTGATTTATGAAGTAATCGACCAAATTCAGTTGATTCCTTACTTCAAACATGCCTTCCTATTTTCCCAATTTGTGCCAAAGGCGCAAATTTTGATTCACGATGGGCAGTAGGAAAATCGGGCTTTCGAAAAACACGGTAGAACTACCTTTATTTGCCAGCGTCCAGAGCGAGGCAAGCAAAGGCAAAAGCAAAGGGATGCAGACGGCGTATGCCAGCGTGACGTCACCCTGCTCCAGAAAATAATCCGCGCTCCGAAAACTGGTAAGCATGTCTTCATACACACGTCGTTCAGCTCGGGAGGATGGGATGGATCCCATCGATCCTGTCCATGCGCTTGCGTCCCGATTTCGGGAACGCCGCGAGAATGGGAGACGGCTGGAGCCGCGGCAGTGTCTGCCGTGCTGGAATCGCTGAGCAGTCGCCGCGACCGCGTCCGAATCGCGTGTGACCCGTGCGCGACCAACTCGGGAGCACTAGGATTTCCGTGGATGCGGGTATGCTTGGTAAACTTAACGGAACTTTGTGAGGTAAGAACGGTACATAAGATGTCAGGTCAGTTTAAGTCATCACATGAAGAAGACAGACTCGATTTTCAAAATCTAGTGAATCTTTGGATTTTCAGACAATACTCCGCTACACTCCCTTTATGCAGTAGAAGCGATGAGTGGTGTTGTTGTTAGGATAATTGTCACTGGGATAAAGGAGTTTAGAAAACGAAGTGTGCATAGTCAGTTGTAGAAAGTTTCGAATATACGATGGTCATGCGCATCTAATGTATTATGTAATAATCCCTCTTATCTATTCCAGCTTCCAGTGTAGATACTGTCAGGTATCTCTTAATCATTTTTGATGATTTTTGTAGCATTAGACATGATCTTGATCAGCTGACGTTTTACTTATTAATTGACCTGCTTCGGTTTTATTGGACGCATAGCTGAGAGCATCGTCAATTTACCAGCAAAATTAGTAATAGGAGTGCATGAACCGGGACCTACATAGATTATTTTGACCCTGTTACCTCTTTTGTAGTTTCTTGCCTAATGGTAACATGGAGCACCAGATAATGCTGAAATATGTTTCATCGACAAACACTATCGTTATTGGTGTGCAATTATAAACCTTGCAAAAAAAAAGATAAAGATCAAACAATCCAGGACTTCAAAACAATATTTAGAGTTCTTAGTAATGTATTGTTCCTATTCTCTATAGGAATACAGAGCTTTGTACTTGATAGCTCAGTGCCTCCATTGCAGTTCTACGATTTAATAAAGAAGAACATATACAAAATCCCAGTCAGTACTCAAAGAGATCGTGTTGGGTTTCTATTGCCTCACTGAAATGAACTAGAAACCTTCTACATTCTTCTCAGACGTGTCGGTCGAAGAATCGTCACTATGCCAAGCTACTAATGGGTGTAGAGTGTAATGCTTTGGAGCCGAGGCACCTAGAAAGTTCGTTTCTAAGTCACAGTGCAATTACCAGCTAAAAGCCTGCTTGTACTTCTGAAAGTTGTCTGTCTCTAGATAGAAGCAACCCAATGATGTTGGTTAGACTGATTTCTGGTCATACGAGCTCCAACTACATACAATGGAGGTACAAATGCAGTGAGAAAGAAGACAAATCTACATATTCGTACATTCTGAGACCCTAAACCCCCTGAATCCACAGTCGTACTTGACTTTGCTGAGAGGAGCTCCTTGAAAATGTCGAAAACATTACAATACTACTTCTTGTTGTAACCCAGTACAGAATGAATAAAATAAACCTCAATAACTAGTTAAATGCCTCTAAAAATTAATTTCACGGATCAGGATTTCGACGAAGTCATAAATGTCAGAAATGGATAAGGGCAAAGATTCAGGAATTCTTCAGGTTTCAGTGAATGGAAAAAGGTGTAAGTACTTTAGTTGACCCTTTAACTGTAAGATTTTCTCGATAATCTTATAACAACCCCATAAAACATACCGCCCTTGTTTATAATAAATACATGATATTGGCTAATATGTAACAGGCACTAACATTTTGCAGTTTTACATAATAAATTTTGATCATTGATTCTAGCACCATTTAAATTGCAAACAAAGTAGAAAACTGGCAATTCTTCTTACAAATGCGACTTCAATATGTATCTTCCAGCCGCAGAAAAGTAGAGAGCTGGAAGTCAGTTCCTTTATATTTAATTCCCGTTTACAATTTGCCGCTCGCCGAAAGCCTATATGAAAAGGGCTTTCATCTTTCCATCTGGTTTTATCTCTATTTTACTTAGTGAGCGCTAAATTATATATTCCGGAGGTAAATGAAGGTTTTGCTTATACAAGAAGCTTCAGCCTTAGTTTGTCAGTTGAACGGAAGGATCGTCTACGGTGACCAAGGCAACCGGCTGGAAGTCTGCAGATTTTTGGCAGTATCGCGTTTTTAGACTTTTTGATGATATTCCATGACATTTTTTTGCTTTAGTGTAATTTGCCCCTTCCATATAATTAAGCATTTAGCTCCTATTGGCATCCTGCAAATTTGCTTATTTTTGAGCGCATACTATAATATGAATGGCCTTAAGTGCCGCACTACGTGGAGACCAAAAATTCTGATGCCGTCCAGAGTTTTTATGTACGTTCACACTTTACAAGGAAGCTACTCGTTTTGACTTGTCTTTTGATCAGACCCCTTCTACTGCTCAACCAAGGGACTTTACCCCTCTGAACTTAGTCGTTTCAAAAGCGGTTGCATCCTAGGCCTGCCAGACGAACCTATTAGTTAAGGTTGTTCTTTTATTCCTAGCACATCGAGAATGTAAAAGTATTCGCCTGATGAATCTTTTCTGTGTACTATAGGGTGGCTAAAAATACAGGTTGTGGTTCAAGCTGTTTATAAAGTTTTCATACAGCGTTTTCCATAATTTTCAGTGAGATTTTAGGCTTTATGATTACGGCTATATTAGGAATGTTATCTTGGCTGATTCATTAGCTCATATTCATTCAAATATCTCGAACAAGTAGAAAAACTCGGGATCGGTTAAATCTGTTAATATGTTAATATGTTAATATGTTAATATGTTAATATGTTAATGTGTTAATATGTAATATGTTAATATGACTCTCCGTTAAGAAATGTGGTCCCAAAAACCTCACTAACTAAGCACACCCACTACTCCATAATAATATTGAATAGTTTTAAAATATAATGCAACGCTTTCCGATTGTGAGCGCCAAGAAGTCAGACTTTTCTTAAAAACCCTGAGGTAAAAATTCGACAGCTCTAACTCGTCAATACTGTGCGTGACCTTCGACACTGTCCTCTGTTACCGATGATTTGGAACAAGATGGCTGATAGTTGTTACTTTTTTATACCAAATGAACAAAAGCCTAAATACCAGGGCACCGTAGCTTCTATGAAGAACTTAAAGAAACTTTGTTAATCCGATGTTTGAACTAAGGCTAGTAGAACTAGTAAATGCCTCCTCCGGAAGTTTGGATCATCATCTCGACACCCTAGGGAGAAAGGAGTGGTCGTATCGACCAGTTATACATGGGAGGCCGATGCCAGGTTGGTCTGAGTTGAATGGCAGGCATATTGCAAGTAGGAGAGCTCTGATGAACAAGGCCTGTTGACATAGCGGTAGAAGAGAGCTAGGTCGCCGACGACCCGTCGATAAGGAAGGGTTTCGAGACTGTCCCTTAGAGAAGCCACCGATTACTCGGAGAGCCCTCCTCAAAAGAACACAGCATCGAGCATGGATAATGTAGTTAGGGCTGCAGCACCTCAAACATGCCAGCAGTACTCGAGGCTAGGACTTATCTAGACCTAAAAGTTGAAAAAAGTACTTCTTAGTCCTAAAAAAATATTCTATCCTTTTCTCAGCTCCTGCCGTTATTGACGAGATGTGTTCGTGCGAGATCAAGTCTGTGGTGATCCGGACTCCGATCAACCGAATGAATGACTCTTTGATGATATAAGAAAATACAGCATATGTTTGTATATTTGTGTGTTTCTTCAAGACAGTAAAAACGTAAGACCAGAAACAGTATAAGGAATGGATACTACTAGGGAGCAGTCGTATATTTTTGGATGCTACAAAAACCACGTGTAGACAACAACAACTGGACATCTTTTTTGAAAAATCATACAATATTCTAATACAAGTACTTCCGAAAGATGTCAGTTGAAGGATTTCATACAGAGACCAAATGAGAATGTAGTTACCGTCAGTGTTCTGTTAATTGTAGATAAGTCACGGCAACTTTCAAGCAGTTTTTCATTTAAAAATTAATCTTAAGATGCGTGTCTGGCTAACAAAGACTCTGTCTCTATCTTTTTATTTTCCCCAGGTAAGTTTACATATCGCGAAATTTAAATATAAAATATGACCATTTTCCGTGGAGTCGGCTCATAATCGCGCGAAATCTTATTTACTCAATCTCAAAAAATAAAACGCAAATGGAAAACGGGCGCTTTATATAAAAGTCAAATCATAGAGAAGAAGGTGGTATTATGGCCCCACATTTTAATTTTTGCTCGTAAAAAACAACCTAATGTTTTCTCGTTGACCTATTTGTGTCATTATAATATTCAATCATTCAAGAGTAAGGGGTCATATAAGTGAAAACATAATAATCAAAAATGTTTCCAGAAAAATATATTTTTGTGACTCTTGCAAACATTCATTTTTTCGAAGTAGGCAGGTAATATGGCCCCGGGGGGCCATATTGCCGAGCAAAATATATAGTAGAAACGCAATAAGCTCTCAAAGTTTTATCTACAAAAATCGCATATGTAATATTCTCGTTCGGCTCCAGAGCACTCATTGTGTGCCCACATCGCACAGCTTTGGCACTGGACCCATATTTCGCCCTTTCGGTCATCAGAGAAACGGCGGTCACAAAAATACAAGTTGCATCGTTGTTCTCAGAAACTGCCCCTTGCAAAGATTCATCATCATCGGAATCATCACCACTGCTTGGAAGGACATCTTCATTACTGTCAGAACTGCTGCTTGAACTAGGACTAGGGGCTCTTCTGGGGACTTTTGCAATTGACCTAAAGTTACGTCGACCGCGACTGCTTACGCGACCGCGTCCAGCTGCTGCCTCTGTAGTTTTTTTAATGGATGCTTCTAATTCCCTTACGTAAGTTGACGTTGTAAGTACAGCTGCCGATGATGTTTTGCGTCCTCGTGTTGAAGTCTTTGTTTTGGGCTTCGGGATAGATATATCATGCGGTAAAACAAAAGATGATTCAGAAGCGCAAGAACCGGGATGATCATTGAGAATCGTGTTTTCTACATGATCATTGATTGTCGAGGGCCCAGGCTGTACATCTGTTGCTAATGGTTCTATCACTGTTGTTATTGCCGATGTGTTATGTGGTGATGTCGATACTGTTGATCGCAGTTGAGATTGTCCCAGGAAGTCCGGTGATTTTGAAGCCATTTACAGCTATCTCACCTGTTACGCACCTTAAATAAGCTTTCCCAAGTAACTCTGCAATGTCATGTGGCTTTAGAAGTCTGTCAGAATGCAACAAAAATTTTCGAATCTCTTCACTGTAGTGAGATTTAAGAGCTCCCATGAACGTGCGGTCAAGAGGCTGGAGCTTGTGCGTTGTGTAGGGGGCAGGCTAATAATAGTCACATGGTTTTTGCGAGCAAGTTGCAAAACTTCAAGGTTTCGAGTGTGGCTGTAATGTCCATCGAGTATAAGAAGTATGGGAGAGTTTTCTGTTGGGTGGGTTTTTTCTAAAAAATGCTCAAACCATTCAGAAAATAAATTGGTTTGAATCCATCCCGAAGGATGTACCCTTCCAAGTGCACCAGGGGGAGCTCCTTTTATTAAAACATCTGAAAAATTCTTCCTGGGGAATATCATCATTGGCGGTATGAAAGTGCCTCCAGCGCTCATTGCACTAACTATGGTTATCAACGAACCGCGTTCTGCAGCAGTTAAAGCTCCGATCTGCCTTTTGCCCTTTCGACCCACTACTGCTGGTATTTTTGTTTGTACAATGGTGATGCCTGTTTCATCTACATTGTAGATGTGATCTGCGGGGTATTGGCATTTTATGTATTCGGATTCCAAAATATCAAAAAACTTATTTATTGCTGCTGGATTGAAACCTTGAACTCGTGCATAAGAGGTTCCCGTAGGTTTTCTGAGAGACAACTGATGTTTGTATCTTTTAAGAAAATGATCCAACCATGCTCGACCTGCTATATCATTTTTAAAAGGATTGGGAATATTGTTTTGAACTGTCAACTGGTAGGCTATTTTTCTGACATCCATTCGAGTTAAGCCATAAAATATTTGCTCCATGTGCAATATATATTCCACTAATTTTTCTTCTAGGTAAGGTGGCAACACAGGCCTTCTACCTAAGGGCTTCTGTACAACTAGCTCTGGCAACAACTCAGTATTATGGACGAGCCTTCTTAGAGTAGTTCTTGGCACACCAAAACTTTTAACTGCCTTTGTAAAACCCATAGACTTAGTGCGTACAGCTTCAACTGCCCTTGTCATCTGATCGGAGCTCCACGTCTTTCTCTTCCTATCCCTCTTTGTAGACATAATTGTTCGGGGCATCTACAACAATTTAAAATAAATTAAGAGCCGAATTTAGCGTTGAGTTTATTTATAAATATATAAAAGTATCTGCAAAAATGTATTTAATATGGCCCCCTGGGCCATAATTCCAGCTTTTATAGGGCGCCATATTACATACATGGGTGTATTGTAAACACGACACCAAAAAAAAAATATTATTCAACGTACCTACCTTCGTAACACAGCTATTGTTAGCCGTTTATCTTTGTACAGAACACAATAAATATGTTTCTAAACCAACTGCCTAGACAAAAACGTGTTGAACCGATCACCAACGAAATTATCTACTACGCACGATACCACGGAATTGGCAATACTGGCGGAACCTGTCGATAAGTCGACCTCCTTCTTTCTTCTAAATATTGTTTGAGGACCGACTTGTGTTGTTTACTATAAAAATCATAGATGGCTCTCCGGTTTCTATGAAATTAAAAGGGGGGCCAAATTAACAGCAGGGGCCATAATACCACCTTCTCCTCTATCACTTCTATAGAAGGCAGCTCAAAAAATAAATCGACAATGCAATTTTGTAACTTTGACACCGCCATGCTTCTCAAACGTCGCATAAAATCACTGCCCCTTTTACAATACGTCCTACTTTGCGACGCCAAAAGTAATTCTTACGTCCAAACCAGTAGATAAAAAGGACTAATTCTACTTTATTAGCAGCCTATTGTTCTCATGCTTGCTCCAGATCCAGCCTATATGTCTAAGCACTTCGTAAGTTCCATCCAAAACCGTCTTCACAGCTAATTGGGATTCTACAACTATGCGCAAGTAAAATGTTATCTGGGAATTAATGGGCTTAGTCGGTTCACTTGAAGCCACGGCAAACAATTCTAACGTTTATTAAGGTGCGGATAAGCGCTTTTGTGTTTACTCCCACCCAAACTTACTGCACGAGATCATAAAATCTTTACTTCCCACGCTTACCGGCAAGGAAATATTGTAATCACGGAAAATTTTAAAAATGCGGTATTATCTTTTGACATCCACGTAAAGAAAAACTATGTCACACATTCCGTCTGTCGGACTGTCTATCGGTCTGCCTGTCTGTCTGTCTGTCGGCCGGTCTGCCTGTCTGTCGATCTAACCACTATTCCCTGGCTCGTCCAAAACTTGGAAAGTAACACTTGATTTAAATGAAATTTTCATACAAGGTTACCACTATGCCAGGATCGAAAAAGCTTTGTCGTTTTTGAAAATCAGTGCAGTGACGATGGCCAAGAATGACAAAACTAAAAATCGCTCAGACTTCATTTTTTGACGTTTCAGTGATCGTTTTCGAAAAAACTGTTGTAGGGGTCAAAGATTGGGTGTTAGGGGGAGGGCATATCTCAATTTGTTGACGTTATTCATACGCCTCCAACTTCACCTGTTCGACACATTTCACTCATCATAGATATCCCCTTAAATTTACACTTAAAGCTTAGAGAAACATCTCCAACAGTCGCCCATCGTGGTTTGGCTGATGATTGTCCTTCGGGCGTCGCAGTTGGCAGTCTTCTGCGTGCTGTTGTGAAATGTATGCTGTACAAGTCAATATCGTCATCCACGAGGCATCACTAATCGCAAAGATCATGCACGCTATCAGGAGTCATTTAATTTTTTGTTATACATGTTCGAAGCTAGCTTTTTTTTCAGAAAGGCTAACTTATGTGGAGCATAATCCCTTACGAACTGACGACAGCGTTACGTGAAAAATACAGAGTCTATCTACTTGACGCAATGTTTTGCGAATCTGCTGAATTGGGTAGTCCATTATTTGTTAATTGGAAAGTCTGCTGATCACTTAAACAACCTTGTGCATTCAAGTAAAGTGACAAGCGAGGAGACAAATATACCAAGTGACATATAAATCCGAACACCCAGTTTAAATGGTTTTATTTTAATAAAAGTTGGTGAATGTATTTATCTTACTGTAAATAACAAGTGAAAAAATTTTCAGCCTTATCAGTTGGACATTCCGGTTTTTATACTGCTTTTTTTTAATTCACTAACGCTCTAAAAATGAATATTTCAGCCGCAGTAAAGAATCAACGTTGGCGGATTTTGGTTCCTGACATCCTTTACGATCGGTTACGATGCCTAGAGTACGGAGACCTGTACGATTTCGTCAACTTAGCGAGTTTGATAGGGGCCGTATAGTGGGACTTCGGGAAGCTGGACTTTCTTTTCGGGCAATTGCAGTTAGAGTGCAAAGAAGTGTAGACACTGTGGTTAGGTGTTGTCAGGCATGGCTTCGAGAAGGCCGTACGCAAAGAGCAAGGGGCACTGGACGCCGCCGTAGAACAACAGACCGAGAAGATCGCCGCCTAAGATTATTGGCTTTAAGGGACCGTTTCTCCACTACCAGGTCCATTGCAAATGAATGGGTTGCAGAACACGGAAGACCTATTGGCATGCGAAGTGTTTACCGATGAATGAGAAGCTTTGGCTTGTTTTCATACCGGCCACACTGGCTCCTCCCTTTAACTCGAGAACACCGACGTAATAGCCTTGAGTGGTGCAGACAACTGTCGCTCTGGGATCAGGAATGGAACAGTATTGTCTTTAGTGACGAGTCTCGATTTTGTTTAGGCATGCACGATGGTCGTGCCAGGGTTAGAAGGCGACGTGGTGAAAGGAGGAATCCACAGTTTTTTGTTGAAGGACATGTTCATCACACTGTTGGAGTTATGGTTTGGGGTGCTATAGCTTATGGTTCCAGGTCACCTTTAATCTTCATCAGAGGTAACATGAACGCGCAGCGTTATATCCACGAAGTTCTAGAACCCCATCTTTTACCCTATCTTGACACCCTGGCAGATCCAACTTTCCAACAAGATAATGCCCGACCACATGTTGCAAGAGTCACACTAGACTTCTTTCAACATAATGATGTCACATTGTTACTATGGCCACCAAGATCTCCCGACTTATCCCCAATAGAGCACGTGTGGGATATAATAGGTAGGAGATTGCTCAATATGCAGCGTCCTCCTCAGACTCTAGAAGCACTTCGAGAGGAGTTGGTAGTTGCCTTGAATGAGATACCACAGGCGGACATTGACCACCTGATCAGAAGCTTGCCTAGGCGCTTTGGAGAATGCGTAGCACATCAGGGTGCATCCACACATTATTAAAGGTCAAAGGGCTTTAAAGCAGTGCAATCATTTTAAAATTTTTATCATTTACTCATTATGCTTCATTAAGTACTTATACAAAATTTTATTAAAATAAAACCATTTAAACTGGGTGTTCGGATTTATATGTCACTTATTATGTGTGTCTCGGAACTGATTCCAGGTTCTTCTGCTCTCAACCTTAAATGTCAAAACAAGTGCACGATCATTGAGAGGAACGGAAGCGAAAAGAAGAGAATCTAAACTCTTCCGGTGGGTTCCGCTTTGTGTAAAAAATTGTACAATTGTCTGGATATGTCTTGCATGGATACAAATTGGTAATGACTGAGTTTTGTCACAAAGAGACATATCAGTTTTTTGGGTTTTGCCTAAGACGTTGTTACACGCGGAATACTACTTCAAAAGCAGTGCGACTCCATTGACTCTATATTACACATTTTTTTTCTGCTGTTACTGTTAATAAAATATAATTATCTTTACGCCTCTTGTTATTATATGGAGTTTAAAATGATTTCAATTGTTACTTTAAAATGTTGCTTTTCTTGCTACGCGCTAGCAGAGAAAATGTTATTCCTAACTGCGGAAAAGTAAAACATTCCGTTCTTGTTTGGAAAATAACTATTGTAGTACTTTGCAACAATATATTAGTGTACTGCCATCTTATCCAAATGCGCACATTCTAATATATCCACAGGCTTATTTTTTGTCCAACGGTACTTTCCGCTCGAAGTGTGAGACTTTCCAAAAAATTGGCATACTCACCATCGATCGTACAACGATCATAAATACTTTGTGACGCCTAAGCCTATAACCTATGATCCCTGCAAGTTTGGTGAAGCATAAATTCCATGCGAAAGCATGTTTGCCATATTTTCGCAAGCTAACTTCGTAATCTTGTTAAACCCACGCCTCGAATGTGTCGGATAGAGGGATGAACACGCTTAAAATTGATGCAAGAAATTCGACGCCCCTGAATGAATTTAAATTCAATGTGTGTTTGTATATTTTGGATGTTGACAGCTCTGGGATGTACATTGTGGTTTCGTATTTTCTTGTAAGTCATGCAACGCAGGCCCGTATCGTCAGTCTTGCCTACAATTGTAGGGCGCGTTTATGGCCTCCTTGATTGTCATACTCCTTTCTCTCCTTCAAAAATTTGTAGATTACACTTGTCCCGTGTTAGCGTCAGCGCTCTCCTATTGTGAAGATATGTTTTCTTTTTAAGTTGTAGGAAATTTCAGGCTGATGAAACATGATATAACTCAAAAGCAAGCACAATTTGATGCAAATAGATGTTTGTGACATAACCTAAAATAGAGCACTGACACGGAGAAGTAGAAAACTACTACAAATAGGTACGACTGACGATGCGGGCTTTAGGGGTGTAGAAGACTTGAGTGGCTTGTGTCAGCCTAAAAACAAAGATGGTGTCAAGTAGGTTGACTCTGCACCTCACATGCAACGACACCATCAATTCGTAAATGATTATGTTCAGCACAAGTTAGACCTTCTGAGAAAAAAATTAGTCACATATATAACAGAGAAATTAAAACAAAGAAAACGAAACCGTAAAAGAATTTGATGTCGAAAATGGATCAGGGAGAGGGACCAGGTAATGGACGTGCTGAATAAAGGACCTCTAGTGGAGGATCCGCTGGCTTGTAAGCCTAATTGCTTCTAAAGTCATTCTGATTTTATCCAACGCAGCTTATTTGGCGCTTCTGTTTTTATAGGACTTGCTTTTTACGGCGTATCTGACGACAATCATATTTCTCATACTTGTTTAGTAGTATGTCACTCTGCTCTTTTGACCATGACATGCTTTAAGTTTTTTAATCTACAAGTAGAACAGCATTGCGCATACACCGGGGAGCTTCGCAAAACTGACGAACATAACTGATCACAACAACTGGTGAAAGTGCGTGAGTCTTGTTTTTGTCAACCAATTGTTAACACAGAACATGCAATTCGTAGCGCTTCTGCTTCAAATACCCTGCTGCTCACTTTTAGCATATTATTCAGAATAGGTTCTATAGAATTTAGCACTCAATTTGTTTATCCAAATAATGTACTAAATGCTGTCTGACACCACCTTTAATTTTGTAGGTTCCTAAATTTAGCACAAACCATCGTATCGTGACAATCGGCCTCAACAGATATGTAGAATCACCAGGGTTGAAAGCAAATACATAATTATACTAATACTAAGACACTCTACAACTCCCAACTTCCGAATTTTAACCACTACAAACATTTCTCTGAAAATGACCGGGAGCCT